GGTAGTCTTTAATTTTTAAAATACAACCATAATTATTTTAATAGCAACATACTTCACACTTAACTGCGACTGAATCATGAGTGATTAGATGAAGCTTCAGATCATACTTCTCTATGAAAGTTTTCGAAGAATGTGAACATTCTTGAATTGATTCCATTGCTAACTTTCAAGTCTAGGTGTCCACTATCCAAAATATCAGTAATGCATTAGGATTTTGTATCTAAATATATTTCTAGAGTTATATTTTGCATTCCTAATTCCTTACCCGATCAAACCGAGAGTTTTTCCAACCATAATTTTTAGCGTTGGTATTGTTCCTATAATCCCAATTAATGTACAAAGTAAGTTACTAACCGAATAGGTCGGTACATCACATCACAGAGCGAATATTTTATAAAGATTTCTCCTCAAACCAGCCATCTGGTTTAGGTTTGGTTAAATTTTCTCTGTTGCAGCTGAGAAAATTGTGTGGCAACCTTGTTGGCAACACGGAGAATATGGGTGTGTAGTTTAGACAAAAATCATTATTGGGTATATGTAGAATGGGATACCTTGTAAAACTTGTGGCTGAGGAGATCTTCAGCCATATATCCTCAGCCCCTCTCGCGATGGGGGAGGAGCTCAAAGTTGAAAAAACACTCGGTTCTAGCGCGAAGAGGTGTCGACATTTTTGAATGCGGTTTTCACCAAAATTGTCCTAATTTATTTACCTTCATTATACCCATTTAGGAAACAAGACACTAAAATTGCTCAGAACACAAGACATTAAAATGATGAATTTAATTTAATAGAATCTAACATCCACTTTCTATAGTTATTTGGCGAAATTGATTAACCGTAATAGCTATCTCAATCGTTTGTATTTAATTAAGAAAGGAGGAGAACTTATTTGGCGAAATGAAAGGAGAACCCTTAGATATGCAGCCCAGGTCGGTTATCGGACGGAAGTTGTAAATATCCCACAATATCGTCAGCGTCCAGGATAGATGGATACTTTGGAAGAAGTTTTTCAAATTGATAAATTCTCTGTGTGAAGAAACCCTTCTTGCGAGGGGTTCTTTGTTTAGGTTTTGTGTCCGTAAGGATCCACATAGCTGAAAGTGATGAAAATTTGTCAAAAATAAATATAAAACGTTTTGAAACACCTTCAATTACTAAACTCGGTCAAGAGTGTATTCCAAGTACGAGTCATGTCCCAAAAGCTTCTTAACCTAAAGTTGACACAGTTTACGGGTGGGTAAATTGAAACACACGAGTGGAAGCAATTCAGCTATAATATTTGAAATACCTGTTTATCAGTCTTATTTGTATGTGTAAAATAAGACTTAAGCCTTTCTCAGAAATTGGGTAGTGAAAAACTTTTGGGACACGGTGTATGTATGTAAGTTCCATCTTAAATAAGTTAACTGTCTTACCCCCTTTGTACATGTAATGTGTTAACACCCGAAGTATGTAGAATGGACAATCACTCGTAAGGACGGTGGATGCGAGAAATCCGAAATAGCAGTTCATAACGTGGATCCCATCGTCCTCCGTGGGACCCTTATCTGGCTCCATTTTGTGTTTTAAGCGTCTGGGGCAAATGTTTACGGCAAATTATTTATTTGAGTATTTACTACTTTTATATATATAATATTTTATTTTACTTTGTTTATTTGTTTTAAAATTCCGTGTAGAAAATTAGGCACGAGTAGACGTAAGTGTGGAAAATGTGAATAACAGATTGGGTTGGTTTCGTGTCTGCTCTAGTTACTTAAATATAAAGGACACCTGTACAAGTTTTAGTTTACCTTCCATATAGAAAGTATACGTTTGTTTTGACGGAATATGTCAGGAATCATTTTCCGTAAGGGTATCTCTTTTTCTGTGCAATCCACTTTTGAAATGCCTACACTACGTCACAAAAGTTTCTTTACTTCTGATCAGCGTCTGACGCTGTATTTCTGATACCAGTGCTAAGATCAGGATTATTCTTATTCTTATGCATAAAGTGCATATGTATTGAAACTTGTTAAGAATGTTACAATTCGATTATTTCTGTATGTGCATTTCAGTTCGTGAAAAACTTTAGGGTAATTTTAGTTCAGAAACCTTTGTGACATGTTATTTATTTATATATATATTTAGGAGGACAACCCTTCACCGACATAATCACGGATTCCGACGCCCTTTTGATATGTCGAAGTACTGGGTGAGTCTAGCAAAAGTGTGGAAGGACTTTATTCCATGGCCCCCTTTGCACTCACACAAAGGCGTCAAAAACACGAAAAGGACCCTGTTTTGGTTCATTCAAAAATTCTGTAAAAATCGAATTTTTATCGGATTTCCGCAAATGCGGAGCAAATGAAAACCAACCGAACCTTCGGAGTGACTCATAAAATTAACGTCATAAAATTGCGACGACAAATTTGACTTGTTTTCCTGACTCGTTGGCCACGTCGTGAAGGAGAATTCGGCCCGGAAGAGGAAACTGTTAATCGGTTTGTTGCCCGTCTTGACTACCTCCACGTTAAGAATGTGGTCGAATAGTTGGAGGAAGTTTGAAAAATTTTGTCCAGGAATTAGGAATTTGTCGTAATCGAGGGTAGAAACAAATTGGGAGACGCCACGGTAGCGGTGTGAACAGTCGGTGGCTTGAATGCATTGGCCCCTAGAGCGAAGTATTGGCCCATAGAGCGAAGCATAAGAATGGAGCCAGCGTGGGTGCTGAAAAGGCCCAACAAGGTTTTAGCCAGAACGATGCATTGAGTCGAAAAATGACAAGAGGCAGTTCAGTCCGTTCCAAGGTAATGTGCCTGTGTCCCCCGATTAAATTTTAATAGCGAATTTGCTAAAAAAAACACCATTTCATAACCACAGCACATATTTTAATTTATTTATTTTTCATGACTGAAATAAAAAAATAAATATGCCAAACATATTTTAGTGTTCTGTTGAACCATCCTGATTAGCTATTACTTCGAAGGTTCGGTTGGGCATCGAGTCCAAAAGCTTTTTGAGGCTGACTTTCTCCACTCTCTCCCATGAAGCCAAAATTGCGTCTTTCAGCTCTTGAACGTTGGAAAACTGTCGTCCGTTCCTGTAAACTTCACGAACTAAGATTCCCCAAAGGTTTTCGATGAGATTCAGGTCCGGACTTTTACTTGGCCAGGACAGTACACGGACTTTGCTGGTGTCGAACCAAGCCTTTGTGAGCTTGGAAGAGTGGAAGCTAGCATTATCTTGCTGAAAAATCAAGTTTCGGCGCCCAATTTTTATTCCAATTTCCTTGGAGGGTATTTGTCTACACCTGGGAGTACATTGTGCCCTGCACAAATGCCGCATTACTCTTACCGCTGGATACAAACGCTGCCCATATCATTGCGCTTCCTCCTCCGCTTTGCCGTTTAAAGAAATACTTGCTTTCCTTTCGAGGATCATGCCAATATGAGTGGTAACCATCGGGGACGTCCAGCCACTACCACTTTTTCTCGTCACTAAAGACTCCAGAATTCCATTCCTTAGGTCATGTGATCTTTTTCTCACGCCAATCGAGCACAATAGCACCAGAACACCATAGCCAAACAATATTGACCCACTTGCACCAATAGTGCACAAAAATTGTATGTTGTTATAAGAGAGTATAGGGCGAGCTATTTCTAACGCATGCTACGGTTTATTCTTAAAAGATTCATAGCCAACCTCTCGCTTCAACTAAATACTTAAATTGTTCCAAAGTTGTACCCCTCTAAATTAAAGGTTAATAGCCCAAAACATGTTTACGACCACATGCCCATCTACACCAGATGGGTGTTATTACTCACTTTGCTTAGATAAAGGGTGTCGTTTTGGACAGGCCAGTGTCCAAAATGTGCAAAACTGCAGTTTTGGACATCTCCAGATTTGCGTCCAAATTAACTTTTGGACAGTGTACTCTCCAGCCAGGGTGGTTTAACCAAGCGAAACACTGCTTTGGTATGACTTTCGCATAGTTCGGACCAACAGTTAGATATTCCGAGACTTATTATTAGTTTATATACATCTGCTCAAGTCACTTATTGATGTGTTCGGTCGATCCAACTACCCGTCGAATCCGTAACACCTATGTATGTGCCTGCAGTTCTGACTAATTGAGTTTCGACAAGGTCCACTTAAACTTTAGAACTTTAATTAGATGTCTAGAGATGCATTTTTCCTTGAGAAGTAGTCCCAAAACACTTTACTTTACTTATATGATGTCGGCGAATCAATAAAGAACTGGAAACTTCAATTTAATTAACAATTCCAATTAACTATAACTTTATTGAATTCTTCTTCGCACGACCAAAAAAAATTCCTACTTCCTCTCTAGACAACGAGCACTTAACTACTTGACGTTCACTCTAGTACTAAACTTAAAAAATACGTACTTACTAAAACTACGAGACCCACGCCCCCCTTTTCTTCTCTCTCTCCCGCTTACACTCTCTGATCCGCATCCTTTCATACATTGTGTTTCGTATAATCTAACATTGCCTATAATCTAGCATTGCGTATAATCTAACATTGTGTATAATCTACCATTGTGTATAATCTAGCATGGATTTACCACCCTATTTACCCAATTATTTCTATTATAAAATATGCTAAATCATTGAAACTAATTGAATCATAAACCTATATGATTTCCCAATATTAATCAATTACTCTATTTAGTGAATATGCTATTGTTTTAGATATGAAACAGTACAAGAAATCGGACACATTATCATGAATTGAACACTTATTTTATCATTTGGTCTTCTCGTGTATAAAAACACCTCATCAGTCACGCGTTTAATGTATGCAATGTGGTGAGATAAATATAAATAATACAAGTAGATAACCAAAAAGAATGTGAAATTGATATGTTCTCACAGACAGGTGTTGAATTTTACACGAGGAAGCCATGCAATCAAGGCATGATTCAACCTAAAATCAAGCTGTTGGGTAATACAATTTTAGTTTGCACTCAATCGCATTATTGCGCTCGGCAACTGGTCACACCTTGACATCACTTTCTGATAAGGTATAAATAATGATATGAACTGCACAAAAGGATTCATTCGTATCCCAGATTTATAACCCAATTCAAGTATTAAATTTTTTAGTGAAATATTTGCATTTGAAATGTACAAAAAGCTCGGATTCCTACTAGTTGCTATCGGCATTGCAGCCTGCAATGGCCGTGCTTATGTTAGAGTTTCTAGTACCTCCATAATCGAGAAGGAAGTTAGACCAGCAGCTAACGATACTAAAGGAATTACCGGTGTAGTAATTCCTTGCTCGCAAGCGCAAAATCCAAACTGTGTATGTGGTGGAGTAGGATCTATCGTTCAGCTTAGGATCACCGATTGCGAAGGGTCAAGCGGATGCACTTTCGTCCCCGGAACAAGTTACACCTCTGAGATAGATTTCATTCCAAGTGAGTCACAACTAAAAGTTACTCATCTGAAATGTAGATTTTGAATTTCTGTTGTACCTATTTTATTTTCAAAAGGCACTTCCGGTCCAGGTTTGAGGCTGAAGGTTGAGGTAGTGCAATTCGGGTTCAACACGGTAATCTTAGAAGAGGTGCTACCTAACTCTAATGTCGAGGCTGGGTCAACTTACACCGTCACTTATTCTCTCGTTGCAAACGACGTCCTCAGTGGAAGCTCCGTCGTACTAACAGGCAAACTCTTCAACACTGAAACTCAATTATTGGAATTGTGCGTTGGTACTATTGCTAGAATAACATAGGTACTCAAATCTCCATTAAGCTGAAAATAAAAGAACAACAAGTAAATATTGCAGCATAATTCAGTGGTAAACTTTTTTTTAAGTTATTAAGGGGTGAAACCCCTTTATGTATCGACTCTGTCCATCAGTCTGTCAGTCTGTCTGTCTGTCCGGCCATGCTTTAGCTTTTGACCGACTCCACTCCTTCGAATTCTGTTTTCGTCAATCGACATAAGAGGTTAAAGGACAGGTCAAGTTCGTAAACTGACCTTGTAGGTCAAAAAGTCACGACGCGAGGTCACATCTTGTGACTTTTTTCAATGGCGACCCCATCATGTGAGGTGTTAAACGCTAATAGTTTACGAAGACCAATCAAACGCCGTAGGTGACGCCACAGTCATGGCGAAGACGTCAGTGTCGAAATGTTTTTCGACTGTTTCAGGCCAACTTTTGAAAGTAGATCACGAAAATCGGCACAATTTTGACCAAACGATGACCTCACGACCTTGGCGAGGACGCAACAAACTTTGGTAGAGGTAAGAAATAACGTCGAACGGGAGATAGAATTTTGGGAAATCAGCCTTCATTGCAAAATCCGATTTCACTACGGCAGAATTAAAATTTCTGGCTAAAGATTACCCAGATAAAAAAATTTACAAGGGGAAAGCCCTCTTGGATAAAAAGTATGAAGGCTGGTACTTCTATAATGGGGGATTATCAAAGGTGTCGAAATATTTCAATATTTTAGTAGAATCGGGACTATACGGCCTTTTACGGGAAGAAGAATTTCGACAAATTAATCTGGATCGTCTCCCAGTGAAGAAAGTACGTGAGGAGGAATTGGCTCAACCAATTAAGGTGAACGGGGCAATTTCAACCCTAGTCGTTCCAGGCGGAGCTACAATTGTTGCAGCGGTGATGGCATTTGGTTTCGAAAATTTCTACTATATTTATATCCCGATATATATCACGATATATATTGCTTTGATGGGCAAATTAAGTCTCAAAATTTTATGAGTTAGTGGAAAATGTAGACGGGCTATAGTGGTCAAAATTGTTGTAATTTTGTCAAAATTGTAGCAATGGTACAATTTTGACGCGCTTTTTTTATCGACACATAAATCGTTAAAAATTCACGGTTCAAGTCATTTTGCGGCTGACAACCTGATGCGAGATTTTTCTATTACAGAAGAGCTACATTTTCAGCTTTTGTTGTCCGAAGCAAAATGACTGGAACCATGAGATTTTTGGGGTCAAAGTTGCCGTGGGGTAATCTTATATGGCAATATTACAACGGCGAGAAACACTTGAACGGATGATACTTCGGTTTGGCTGCAGATAGGAAATGAGAAAAGTTTGAAAGAATGTTGGCTGAATTGCAACCCTTTCCTAAATATACGTACCAAGAAGCCCGTTGTAACCATAGGGTGAACTACTTCTACGAAAGGATCCCGTTAGTTCAAAAACCTTCTAGAAACGAACTATTTATAGGGGTTGTAAATAAAATGAACACATTTTTGTAATGCCTTGTACATTGATATTTAATAAAAAAAATATTTATTAATCAACGCTGCTATTTGGGTAAATATTTAATTACAGATCGGTATGGAACCAAAAAATTATGCTATTTGATTAATGCAATTGTCAATAAATCTACCGTGTCAACCTAACCTTTGTTTACTCTTAAATCTCTGGTAGTGGTGTTTTAGTAAATTTTGTGATATAAAAGTACTATAATAATACACATGTACATTCAGATATTCATATTTATTTTATTATAACCAGCACTACATTTGAGTATAGATATTATTTTAACTTCAATAATCTCAAATGCGGCAAACCAAAGTTTAAAATTATTTGACAATTTCTAGTTTATACTTTAGTTTATTCAACTCAATACCACGAAAGCAAGAAATATGATTTCATGTGATTTTTATGATTATAACAATTCTTGATTGTAATGCGTAGAGTGATTACTATGACCTGAATAAATCATTCTGTTATGCAATAATAAATCGTTCCATCTTTATGTTTATTGTAGTTATGCCTGTACATGTGAACACAAGTTGATATACTGATGAATAATTTTAAATTATAATCATTCTGTTATGATTTCATGAGCACTACTCCCTCACCTCGGCAAGGTTCGACTTCTACCCGCCATTACCTTATAAAGGGGTATCACTATAGTATTGGACAAAACGCCGAGGCGGAATTTGAAAAAAAACTGTTGATAATTTTCCGAAAATAATTTTAATTTCCGATAGTGCAATTCAAGAGCTTTCTAACGGTGTATCACACATATTATTTCAAAATGGCTAAATGTAAAAAATGCGTTTGGATAACTGAGTACAAATACCTGCAGAACAAAGAATACTTCATGGAATTTGAAACTTTTTGGTTCTAGCTTCGATGTCGAGCTTATTTACTTTAATTTTAACTAAGTAGCTTTGATAAATATTAACTTTGCCGACACCTACCGCCGTTTACCTGGATGCATGGTTTAAAAAAAGTTTCCGATTTGAGTTTTCACTTTGGTGGTCCCAGCTTCACAGGATGACCAGTTGGCTTTTTGAATTCGACAAATTCGGATTCCTTGGACTTTTTGTATAAGAGAACATATTTGCCGTTAGAATTAATTGTTTCTTAAAAAAATGCCAGGTCGTTTACAAGTCTCCGCTTGCTTTAGTTTGATAGAATTTGGTCACTCTTTTTTTCAACTCCTTCCTTTCGATCCAAGTTTTCATACCTTCAGCCATTTTGAAATAATATGTGTGATACACCGTTTGAAAGCTCTTGAATTGGACTATCGGAAATTAAAATTAACTTTGGAAAATTATCAAAAGTTTTTTCAAATTCCTCCTCAGCGCTTTGTCCAATACTATAGTGATACTCCTTTACCAACAGTATACTGTTTCAATAGACGGATTCATTATAACTATAGTTATACTGAATCCGTCTTATCGGAAAAACTCTATTAACTCATTAGGCAACACGCCGAATTGGGAAATTATGCTTTTACATACCCCATCTTTCTGTTGAAAAAATTTGTTAATAGGCGTTAATAGGCATAAATTCCATATTTTGATCGTGTACTAATTAAAGCGAAAATTGCAATTAGTTTGCAAAATCCTGCAAATTGGAAAATGGGGGGCCCAAATTCGCGGCAGTGGCCAACTTCTGGTCCAAAATAATTTTTTAAGTTATTTCCAGTGGTATTTGACCATATTCTGATGATTTTGAGTCCAAAATCCAAATTCTCAAAATCGGCCAAAAATTCGCACACTTTGGCTTCTAGCTCAAAATCCATCAATGCGCCCCCCCAATATTATTACAGACTCTTCATGTACACAAAATTACGCAAATTTTAAGCTGTCATACATGAAAATCGACCGAAGCCGAAAAAAAACGATTAGATGGTACAAAAAGTTACTAACAATTACTGCGTTGTTATCAGTTAATATTTAGGATGGTTGGAATAGTGTGTAAAATAAATCATTGTAAGTAATTTGACGAAAAGGAAAAGATCAAATAAAAAAATTGAGTTTATTTCTTCTGGAAGAGACACTAGTGTCATTTCGACCCTGGTACAAGTCCGCACAGATTTCCTGTTAGTTAGTTGATTGCACTAGTGCAAGAAAAGTACATACTTCGTGCGAGGCAGGAATGCCTTGTGAAAAGTTCATAGTTTTTGAGACCCTTCTTTAATTAAAGTACGTCTCCATACCGTACAATCAATCAATCTTGTGTATATGTCATTAGGAACTCAATTTGTTGATACTTACAAATACAACAAATACAAATACTTAATCGAAAATAATGGGGGTAATCATCACGAGGTCGCATGTTCGCATCGCAATATAATTTCTTATGGACTTTTGCGAACTAAATACTACCACTGGAGCCGCGCAAGTTCGCAAACTAATTTTTGATGGACATATTTTGCGAAGTTGAGAACTTTAATTTTTTGCTAACGTTGATAACTCGTTGCGAACTCGTGATCAATACCCCCAATGTATGTTTAAAGATATTTCTATTATTATAATTTTATTCTTTATTCGTAAAAAAAGTCTTCGCGAGGATATGACAAATTTATCGCTACCTAAAAACACCACACGACCGGCGCTCTCAAAAAAATGCTTTATTTGGCCTTATTTAGTATGGGCATACATATGTAAATAATTAATGAGCTATAGATTTGACCTATTCTCAAAATCTACAATTAATTATTAAGACCTCCACCTAAATACGCTATGAAAATTTTCTCCAGGCTCATCGTCGTGGTAGAATTATTTCTTGAGGTCTTCGCATAATTGAGTTGAATATACATATTTACTATTGGGAACCATATTCAAATCAATAGGTTTTGAATAACGGTTCTCAATTAAGTGCTACGCAAATGTGGTTATACAGACGCTTAAATTTTTGTTTTCTATTTGTTATAAACCGAAATTGGTTTTAAATTGTATGTATGTATGTATATACCTGAGAGTTCATAAGATATTAAAAAATCTCGAAAAACTCAAACAAAATAAGTGATACATTACCAAGAATAAAATAAATTTATCAAAGTATAAACAACTTAAGTTTTCATCACCGCTCCCAAAGATGGTAGTTTTTACTTAAGGTACAGGTTATTAATTATTATCGATTAAGGATTGCTCAAAATAATGCAAATTTCTGGTAGTTCTACTGTAATATGTATATCTCGTCCTTTGTATTGCATCACCTTAGTAATCCTAATTTTTCGAAATTTGATTATTTGTAGCTCCTAAGTTAAAGCTCATCAAGAATAAATAACAGCAACAAATTCTGATAATTGTTCGATATTGTTTAATTGGCATTAAAATCAATTAACAATGAAGATAGCCCAACCAGAAGCAGTACGTTAATATAGCGTTAAGTTCACGTTGGTAATGTAATTTCAACGTTAATTTAACGTTGGTCGTGGCCGCTTTTTTTAGGTTAGAATAACATTGGAATAACGTTAGTAACGTTACTCTAACGCAATTTCAACGTGAATTTCAAGCGTTATTTTAACGATGTATGGGAAATGTTACAACAACGTTAACATCACGTA